GGCTGGATAGGTACATCCACCACATAACCCAAATAGGATATGGTCTCCGAGTGGATGATCTTCTGGACCTTTGCAAACGGTTATTGGATGATGATCAGAGATGTAGGGACAAGGACTTCCTCATTCACTAACAATCGCCCTGGGGTTCAATGCAAAGGACTTCAAGAACGTCATGGTTCAATTACTTAGCAAACCCCTGAGATGCTGGGCTTCTATCGTGCCAGGGTGACAGAGAGAAATAATGTTGCTTAGTTTGAGTTGCTTGGGTTGCAATTACTGGGAGAGTATAATATACGGGCCGAGGAATTCCTCAGCATTCCTCAGTTAATTTTTTAAATCTCTCTTCATATAATATATTTTTATCCTGATTTAAGACTCGTGTGGAGACAGGGCAAGCGATATTCGCAGGGCCTCTCTCATGAAGAAGTTGACCACCACAAGAGAAGGAAAATCACCTCGCTCCCTCCTGTTCTTCCCAGCTCCTTGACCCCGATCTCCACTTGGGTTTTGGGTCACTCATTTGTTGCAAGGACTGAAAATTTTGTTCAAATCTACCCATCTCTTTATCCGGACCTTCCGAGTGGAGTGCAGTTTGTGCACAGGTCTGGATGCACGGCTAAATCTTTGCAGATGCACCTCCAAATTGTCGTCTTAAGGGATGAACGACCCAGGGTTCCGGCTCATGTCGTCCTTCATTGTGGAGACAATGAGCTCGACGACAAAGATCTCGCCGAGGACCCAGATTTTTACGTAAATTGGCTTCTGGATCTCTTTTTTTCTTTTCCTTCGTGGTTGCGTGAAGATTGTGATCATTAAACCTTACCCCCGGGAAGGCCGGACTACGAGTCTCGTCGGCAGCTCTTTGACATTCGTATATCCCGAGCCACAGTCCGGTTCGGTGACCAAATTGTCTTTTGGAGGTAAAATGCATTCAAAGGTGTCACAAATGCCAATCGTTTTCTTCCGGATGGCGTGCACCTCCCTCAAAAGAGGATGAAGGTGTATGTGCACATTCTTCACCGAATCAAACGCTGGCTGGACATTAAATCCCCAGTGCAACCGCATCTCCAACTTTAATTTGAAACCCTTGCTTAAAGTGAAACTTTAAATTGAACCTCTACTTTGGAATCAGTATTTTTTTCCTGGTTGACAGCCAAGCGCTCCATCATCCCTTTGGCACATTTTGCCATATTTTCCTTCTTCCTGGATAAGATCATCTGGATTAAAACATTTTTTATCCCCTTCCATGTGCCCATAATTTTGTTGCTTACAAAGCGCATCCATTATCCTATAATGGATGCGCTTTTCCTATGTATATCTTCCTGGATTGGATCATCTGGATCAAACTCTTTTCACCAATATGGTTATATCTCATTCATAGCAATGCATATTGGGAGAACTTACATAAGTACTTATCACATGACTGAAACTGTGTTCACATGGTTTTAACTACTATTTTAATATCGTGTCCTTCGCCTAAAATAGCAGTGGACTTTCCGTCTGCACTTTCGAGCTGGACGAAGAAGAGGTGGTTCTTTTCTTAAAAGGTGATGTCATGGCTGTATCTATTGCTTTATACACTATTGGGTAGCTAGGAAAGCAGTGGTTGGAGAGCACTTTCAAGGCATTGCATCCTTGCAGTGAGCCACTTGGACTTGGATACATCTTCCACATATACATGCGCAGCCAATTCATGAATAATCGACACGAAGTAGGCTTTAGTAGAAAATGGCTTTCCATGGCTTAGCAAAGTTACTGGAAACCCATGAAGTGGAGTATCGATACTCAGGTCTTTGATGTGTACTTTGAGACACACTATGCCAAATCGCTTTAAGCACTGGGCATATTGTTATCACCTTGGTCTGCAAGCCCATCACAACATGCATTTAGAAACTCTTCACTGAGTGCTAAAACATGTGATCATGTCACACTGTTAAAAGAATAACGTGCGCATAACGTATAATACCCGGAATATTGCGCTTCCCCTAAAGTTACATTGGTATTTTTTATATATATAAATAGAAGAACTCCAATCGACGTTGCATGTTTCCAGTTGAATTCACCAGGAATATTGGACGCAAGAACAAAAAACACGATGCCGTACGAGCAGACACAGCCAGCGAGCACCCTGACACTCCTGGTAGGCGCCATGTTGGGACGATAAAGCCGTTCTATGATTGGTGGGAGGGAATTGCAAGACCGCAGATCGGCTTTTATAACAGACCAATCACTCAACCATTGCGGCGTCTGCCGTTCCCCTCACTTCACGGAGTGCATCAGTTCGCATCTTCTGTCAAGACATGGAGTGTCACTCGTGCAAGAAGAAATTTACAGGAAACTGGATTCTCAGGAGACATGTAAAAACAATCCACCCTGAAGCTGATGTCCCTGTCTCCCTTCCGATCGGTCGCAAATCCACGGGAGTCAAGAATGTCAAATATAAGTTCTGCGATATGACCTTACACAAGGACTCGCTTCGGAGGCACGAGAGACCAGCATGACGTGTAAGACAGGCGGAGGAACCAGGCAAAAATGGCTTGCGCTGGTGAGAGAAAAGTGACGTAGGCCTACATCACAAGTCTAAAGGATAGGCAAAAGCAAAAAAAAAAAAGAGAAATGAGATACTATGACGGTAGTCGTGACGTCACTTTGAGTGTGTGAAAATGGCCGCAGCTCGACACGATTGTGAGTATCTTGTAACGGCTCGCCATCCACAGCCAATCTTATACCGGCTTTTAAAACCGACCAATCAGGAAGCGCGAGCTTCATGCGTCATCTGCGCAGAACTGGGGCTCGGGATTGCCACTCAGTAATTTCCCTAAAGCGTACATCATTCCTTCAGATTTTTTGCAGTCATGCCCCAGCAAAACAAGATGGTACCAAACAACCTCAGTAAACTTCGTGGCTCCCGTCGACCAACCTACACTGTGGAAATGACAGCTGCCCTATTAACGGTCCCTTACCGGACCATAGTATCCATCGGGGACGAACCCGAGTGGGAGCTGACCCACCAGACGACCAAGGAAGGGCTGAAGCAGAAGTATGGGCAAAATAAGCCCATCCACCCCGTCCTTCAGCCCCTGCCGGAAGAAGTGTTCCAGCAACTCACCCCCGATAACCCCCTCTACTGGGATGTCCTTCCTCATGTCCAGGGCTTTTTCGAGGACTGTTCCAAAAGTTTTTGCAATTGAAACACTAATAATTTTCCTATGACTGTGTTTTTAATCGTGTATTTTCTACCAAGTTCCTGAAGATTGTCAACCAAATTTCATGTTTTTGTCAAATATTGAAAATTAGAGAAACTTCATTAAATCGGTTCGCTGCATGCTGGAAAAGTGATGGCTTAATCTCTTCCCAGGACTGGAGCTTATCTCCAGCTCATAAACCGTGTTTCAGGTTGGAGAAGACTAGGTCAAGGACTACAATGATGAGACAGAATCGGTGCCAGGAGACTGTGACCATGCTTATAACAGTCATTCAGTGCTGCCATATTTTTCAATTGGGGAGGGTGGGCTTCAAAAACAATCCTATATCAGGTCACATAGTGGTAGCATCTTAGGAAGAGAAATTTCAAGCAGTGACGTCACAAATGCGAGATGCCCACATATCATCAGATGAACCAAGAAGTGGCAATTGCATCAGCAGCACTGATGTAAATTCTTCATCAACATGTACAGCTCTAGAGAATTTTTTGTCTTAGCATTCCGCCTCACTTGAACAAAGACAGGAGTAAACCAGATTGAATTTTAATGCTGAAGAATTTATGTGGAGGGCAAAGCGCCTAAATTACACCATCACATGTAAATAAGTCTGGTTCTCCCATCATGATCCTCTCACTAAAAGGCAAATCTTGATGTGGGTGTTTCAACTGAGTAACCACCTATGTAATTCATTAGACCTTGCGGTGTCTGAAAGAACATGCATGGTTTCACCTCAGTACGTGACATTTTAAAGTTGCTCAGTCACGATGAGTGGCATACAGCTACTTTAGACATGCAAACATCTGCATATCAGCCTAAAGTGTTTGAAGCTAAGAGAGAACAAGGATCAAAAATAACATTTCAGAAAACCCTCCTTCACCAAAGCAAATATCCTGTAAATTGAACCACCAGAAAAATTAAGTTTTTCAAGAAACCTGGGGTTCAGATACTGTCTCTCTCCATACATTCTCCAGATTTAGCTCCATGTGAATTCTGGCTCCCAAAAAAGTTCAATAGCCACAGAAGGGAAAAAGTTTTAAGTCCAGAGGAGTCATGAGGTATAGTGAACCAGGTGTTAACCCACATTCAACACAAAAAACTTGTTTGAAAGCTAGTTCAGCAGACTGAAACTAGGTATATCTGCTGATGGTTGATACACCTCATGAAATGGTAGGAGGGGAACTACCCAACATCCCAAGAAGCGAAAACCAATCTATGATCAACGGGGCGCCGCTCCCAAAGAGAGAATCCCTGCCAGTTCGGTCGCACCGAAGGGGACCCAACAGAAACCTACGCGGCCAGACGAACCGCGTGGAAATAAGACATTCAGATCCACTTCGAAATCCCGTGGACCACCAGCTGCAACATTAAGAGTGGGACGAACCATCATGGAACAACCTCCAAGGAAAACCCCCTGCTCCGGGTCGGGAACTTTTTCCTCTTCTGTGACGTGGCCTTACAAAAGGAGGGCTGTGTGACGTATAAACGTATACATATCCTGTATATTGTGTGGTTATCCAGTATGAGACTGCGCGCTTCTCTCCCCCTCCTTTCCTTGCGCGGAGTCAAGAGTCATTCGCACTCCAGCCCCTAGCCCGAAACCTGTATTTTTCAATATTTGTCATCGAAAAATATGGATGAATATAACCCTCATTCTGATGTCATATTTCCTATATTTATTTTCTGAGTACCAAGAAAAATATTTGTACCCCTCAAAATCCTTTTCAGCAGCTCTGAGAAAAAATAAGTTGTTCAATGGAAGTCAATCGAAAGTTTGATTATTACTCGAAGGTCAAGCCTTCATGGCGACTTCTTGCAGACGTAGGACGCAAACTCCGCTTTATCGAGGTCCTCCCAAGAGGACGTCGTCACCACGGCGCATTCCCCGCCCTCCTCGGCGGGGCTTCCGTATTCCCACCGGTCCAGGTCGAAGGGAGACCCGTCCACCCACATCCAGTCCCCAGCGACTCCTTTCCTCAATCCGATCCAGAACTCCCTCGATCTCGGCAGGGGATGAGGCAGAAAATCGTTGTGTTCGAAGGATTGTCCCGCGAGCACTTGCTTCCATTCGTCGTCCCCGATGGAAAGGATGTCGACACCGGGATATTGAAGACAGTAAGACCTGGCCGTGTCGAAATCGAATGCTTCAGTGGAGACGTGGAAGCACTGAAACGGGTCGTCGTAGCAGAACCAGTCCTCGCCGTTCTCCAGGGTCGACTCGCATATCACCGGCCTGCTGATCGAACAGGGTCGGTTCACCCACCGATCTGGCACCAAGAGCATCCCACAATCAGACGCACAGCCACCAGGCCGGTATGCCTCAAAGGGCCATACATTATGATAATCGTTCCTGGTTCCATCGAGGAATTCGAAGGCAAGAGGATCCTCGTATAGCATTCCTGTGGTCGTGGCTCCAATCCAAACAGTGGGTGTCTTTGCTCTCTCCTGCACGAACAGCTGTTCCTGCTTGGAGTGAATGCTTGTCATTTGTGCGTTTCTGGCTTCACAATCCATCCGGGCATCGTCGAAGGTCACTTCCTCACCCGAGAAAAAGTAACAACGCCCTCCGAATTCGTGCCACCCCGCTTCGCATACGGACGGAGTCACGTAGCTCAGGCTGAACTTGAGTCCCAGTTCGTCGTCGGAATCTGAGACGAAGGAGACGACGAGGCTGTTCCCGACGGACTCGACCGTCCAGGGGTGATCCTGCCCGCAGAATAAGCTGGAATCTCCGTTGGGGTCGGTGATGGAGAGGAAATCGCCAGAGAAACAGTCGACGGTATCCTCCAGATTGAATTCGTTGAAGACGACGATGATATTTTTCATACTCGGGGCCTGCAATTTAAATATAAAAATTGTGCTTCCAAGTTCATAAATAATCCAACTGATAGCATGGTCGTGAGTACGATTAGATTTTTAGACAATAAATGGAAAAATGAACTGCATTTTAAGAACAACCTATAAATGTCCGACAACTGCATTGAATGCCCATTGCATTATCAATATTCTCATATGAACAACCTCAAAGTACTAAGCAGAAATGCAAGCGGTGCAGAAGTCACTCTGGCAATTTCTTTGTTGTATCATCTTTAAAGTTCTCGAGATTTAGTGGAATTTACTAGAGGGGAATAGAAGAGTTTGACTGATGTTCCTGAAATTGCCATTGTCTAATTCGCGTGAATTTACGCCTTCACTAGTCAATTTTCCTTGAAATTTGATGTCGCTACAGTCTTCTATATGCACGGGTTTTTAAGGCAATGGCAGTAACAGAAAAAAAGAGAGAATAAATGAGCGAAAACATTAGTAAATCATTTTCAAACAAGAGTTACGATATTTTGAGGAGATTCAGCCACTCCATGACTGCATCTGTATAGCCAGTGGATTTTTGCGGAGAGACCGGGAAACATGGGTTGGTTAAACTAATAAGCTCGTAGTTCTTTTCTATATCAGCCAAGAAAGCTTGTGGTAGTTTTACCACTTTCCTGTTATACGAGTTCTTTGAAATTTCAACTATGAGCAGGAAATGGGTTGTAACGCACAAAGTATGCAATGTCAGTTTCTGAATTAGCACGTTCTTGAATAATTGTGATAAAACTCAATAGACGTTGTCAATGTAAGCGATTCACAATTGCTACTTCAATTTTTCTGAACGTAACAATTCCCTTACTGCGGTGCTTCAAGGAGACACGACTAAAGGTGACTTCGCTAGGCAGCAAAGAAAAAATCAAAACCACTTCAAGCGAGCGGCAATTGCTTCCCAGCCACGTGTACGATCTACTTAACCAATAATCTATGAATTTATCGTCCGTGTAATACCATACTTTATTTGACCTTTCTCTCGTGTTCGGGCAGCGACTTAGGGACTCACGTAGATTTCCCAATGGCAATTGGAGTTGGGAGGATAGGAATCTGGGTAGTTGGGAGACGTGATGTCGCCGGAGGGATCTGTGAGCACTCCGCCGCATTCCTGGCATACGGAAGCGGAAAGGAGGCAACCCAACCAGAGGAAAAGGAATATTAGCGCACCATTCTCCATCTGCACCAACAAGAGAAGTCCTGAAAGACAACCAGCCCCTCGCAGAGTAAAAGCTGGAAAAATAAATACAAAAGCTATAGGTCAACCATACAAAACTCTCTAGGGAAGCATTTCTAGATTAAGGCTCACCACAGTGCCTCGAGATCCTGCTCAGAGCTCTAATATGACAGCGCAGCAAAACTGTATGACTCGAATGTACGTGGGAGTCCAAAGAAGTGGGAAATGGGCGGGCCATGGAAGGCTAGTCAGATGGAGGAACGTGAAAGAGGCCGTCCTTTCCTCCAAGTGCCCGCTTTCCCACCGAAAACATCGCTCCTTGATATTGCTTCCCGGATCCGACAGTCGAGATTGCGACACATCGTTTACACGAATGGCACGCTCGACTGCTCTTCGTTCGCTTCAACGGGTATATGCAAGGGGGGATTACATCCGCTGTGTGGCCGACAGGCCCGCCGGGCCAGGAAATGGAGCATATGGTAATTTGGGGGAAAATGGCCCTACAAAATGAAACCTGGTCATAACGGCTCATCAAAGTCGAACTGGACTTTTACAATGCTTATAATACTGACTTATACCTTCTTTTACTTAATCCCAGCAAGGCACATGAAAAAAACCGAATGGATATTGCGCCTTCAGATCTTTACCAAGTTGTTCCCAAGAGACCATATTACCCGTGTTGTTGGGGTTTTCCAGGTGCGTGTGAAATATGCTGGAACATGCTAAGCATCTTGAAACAATAATGGAGGCTCAGCAGTTGAAAATAACTAACTGCACTGAGGACTGGCAAAAAAAGTCGCAAAATTACCTGACGCAAGGAACTGTTGTAGAAAGCAAGATTGAAACGCTTTTGGCTTTGAGAGGCATTGCACGTGATTGGGAGACTGTGGGTCTGAGATGAATGATCAATCATAAACTAAAGTGACCATGCATTACGAGTGTAAAATAAGAGGTCTTACATTGCAGGAAACACGTTGCTTAGTTTTGGTTGATGTGTTCCGATTCTCCTATTAGAACTGGATCAATGAACAGGTCTAAACATTTCGACAATTGCATGTGCCCTTCGATAGTTTAGAACGATTTTTTAAAATCGCCCAATTATTCAGTCTGTAAGGGGATTCATTGTGGAGGGCCGTATTACCCCAATATTCTTCCAAGTTACCCTATCAATCCACGGTATACTTGGATAAATGAAGACGGCAAACACCGCGAAACTGACATGAATAGCTAAGGACTAAGGTGGGTAATAAGGTGCAAAGTGGTAATGTTTGTTTACCCAACATTTGAACGAATCAGAAAATATTCTACAGGTTGAACCATGCTGCTTACGCAATAGCAAGCAACCAAACTGCACATGTATGATTCTGCATTACTCCGCATTCACATAAAACAAGCCAAGCCTTGTCATAGGCATCTGAAGGCAATACAAGAAGCAGATAATGAGAGCAAGCATCCCAAAGTCAAAGTCTGACTAAAATAATGATGGCTCAAAATTCGTAATGAAGATTCCTTAAGACCTCGTGTAAGCCGCCGACCATCCATGTCATTATCAAAGATCATCACAAAGCCTATTTCTTGTCACTCGATCGAAAGAGATCGACTCAACTTTGGCAAAATGCTACTCCCTCGCCCAGGGCGAGGTGGAGGTGTTAGGCACTTCGAGAGCGGCTGACAAAAGTATTGAGGTGGTTTCGAATCGGCATTGCCTGGAGATGGAATGCCGCCTCCTCTTTGAAGATGCCAGGGGGTGTCATAAAAGGGTTGGAATTCTCAGCGTATTGCATACGTGCATTCTGCTGCGCTATCAAAACATCCATTTCACAAAACCAAATGACTCGCACAGGTCTAGCCGTTACATTCCGAGCTCTCGCGGCGGTAGGTTACTCTCTCGCTCCCTTTACTATTCGTTCCTCTTCATCGGTTTCCTATTGACGAAACAGATGAAAGCCACTACGTTGTCAGTGTGCATTTGTATTCCATTGACTTTTCTGAGTATCAATAAGACCTTTCTCACTGCTGGATTTCGTCTCCTTCAAACTTTCAAGGCATCCTATCTTAGCCTGTAGCGAAAGCACTTGCAGAAGCTTCAAAGGCCTCCTCAAGCCTTCGGCCGATTGGATGAGGTGTGTTATCACTCTTGAGCGGCATTTCCGCCAATGGAATGGCGATGGCTTGAGAAGAGGACCTGGATTGATTTCAAATATGTGCAAGAGTACTTCTAAAATATATCCTAAGAACCCTAAATGAGGTTCTGCAGTTGTTTTTGCATTGGACTTTCTTCCGCATCGGGACCATGAATGAAGGAGCAAACGATTCTCGAAGGGCGAAAAGAACTAAGATGAAGAAGTAGTTTCACTCTTAAGGTGATCATCTGTGTAGGAACATCTACAGAATTTCAGATAACTGCAAGTTGCACAACTTGAACGATCAAATGGTCCTTATAATCCGTCTCCGAGGAAATCAAGGACTTTCTTAGGGCCCTAGTTGTTCCAAGCTAAATCACATCATCTGTCTCTCTTTCACAAATTTTCGCGCAATTATGTTGTTGCAATTTGTAGATACTAGAAAGTCGGGGGGAAAAAAGGATGGAAAATGCACAACGCTTCGCACTGACACTTGCAATCGTCGTTTTTCAGTGGCTACGGTTGGCTTTTGCAATGGGAGAAAATCCGGCTGCGCCAAGGAGCATAGGTGCGCTCCGAGACGAACTTCTCTCGTCCCGGCGTCCTATACATTCCACGAACATTGCTCACCATCAACAACACCAGTGTTGTGAGAACCGACGACCCGGATATTCAAGGCCAGTTGTGCAGTGTGACATGCCTGCAGACACACCTCCCCGTCTATATCACCCCCCGTCAATCTCAATCCGACGGCACACCACCCTGCCTTTTTATCGTTTAGAAAGGGTTACTTCGTGACAGAAGAAATGGCCGTGAAGTTTCACATTGCCAACACTGCTCAAAAGATGATGGAGGTCGTTTGGCAATGCAAATTAGTAAGGAGAACCCTATGTATCGGCTCTGGCTTCTAGAACAGTTGATAGTGCGAGTGGTGATACTGAACGAACGTTTGTTGGGAATGTTAGTGACACCCTTGCTGCCAACAAGAGGCTATTCCTCCGTAGAAGTCAGTGGGTAGAACATGTGAATGAAGTCACAGCAGCTGAATGTTTTGAAGAGATGTATCACACACACGGAGTTATCACAAACCAGATTCATCCATTTCGACCATTACATGGAGAGCTGCCATCCGAGATATACATTGTGAAATTTGCTAATCAGCGTCCGTCTCCCACAGGTTGTGTATACTTGTGAGGCATCTGATGTCCGCCATTGACCGAGGGAGCGCAACAGTGGTGGAAGGCAAGCGACCTTTTACTGGTTCCCAAGAATCTAAACTTCTTCGTCAGAGCTCATCAACTAAGAACAGTCTTAGTCCGATTCCCGCAGCCAAAATTTGAGCTAGGGTTCACGATGGAACAGATAAGCATCAAAAGAAAATGTCGAGGTACAGTGTGCTACACCTGCCATCATGCTCACAAAAAAAATTCGACATGAGTAAATAATGCAATATAGTTAAAACCATGATGAAACGCGACATATGGGAATGAAAAGTAAAGTTTATTTCATATGAAAAAAGATAAATCCATTATTCGGGACTGACGATCAAAGCAGCACTTCATATGCAATATCGACGGGCCAACGCAGCTCGTGTATGAGCTAATGATTCAACACGTACGCTGCTGTTCTCCGCGAAACTATAACTGCCACATGTTGTTCTGCAATTAACGCAGCACTCCTCTTGGTATAGACATCCTCAGGATGTTCACTGGTCAGTGCGGACTTGCGACGCACTCGCGGAACAGAAACGGCGCTCACAACTTAGCTGTTCAATCCATCCCACCAAACCTACACGTCAACAGCCTCTAACTTGTAAGGGCGAAGGCCAGCAGGCTGGTCGTCCACAACATCACACAAACCAGGAAATGCGCCTGGCCTATGACCCGCTAAGACATAGGCCCATCGGCTTGTGTAATAATTGTATGGATGGGCAGTGATCACACTCATGTAGAAAACAGAAAAGGGTTTAAATCTCAGTAGCAATAACATCTCAACCAATGGCATGGGACTCAATCCGTAGCTGAGGGTAAGACATATGGTCTTGGTATGGGTCTTGCGGAGGAATGGAATGAAGGGCGGGGGTTTAAGTCTCGTGTGGTGAGATCTCCCAATGATTTTGGCATTTTAGGAAGCGTGTTGGCTATCGAGTGTCACTGTGTACGAACGACACTATCCTCTGCTAGCATGAGGGGGAATCTTGAAGATGCTTTATTAAGCTTGACTTGTTGAAGCGTATTGGTATAGTTGGTGTGGTGGTGATGAGGCTAGGCAATGGGATGTCGAACTTATTTGTAGCTCTTTTAGGTCCTTGAATGTGCTGCACAAGTGACTGTATGGTTCCAAAAGTTCCTCCTGTGTGTTATCCTCGTTCGTTACTGGTATACTTATGTCTGGGTCTGCTTTTAATTTCAGGTCAGAACTCCAATATATTACGTGTCATGGTCTATGTGATTCAGTTAGGTCGCTTGCTTCAATCGATCCCCAGTCATGCCGACAGGAGTCTGTGTGAATTGAATTTGCTTTTCTGTTGATTTTCGTTTTTATCTATATTGAGTGACCTCCAGTGTTTTAACTTTTCATGTTGACTTCATTCTAGGCTTTGTGCTTGGATTTGGTTTTTTGGGGGGTTTGTAATGAGTGCGATATAAAGTAATACATAGGGATAAACATGGAGCAGTGAACTTTGTGATTGAAGTTGAAAAGATTGGAATGTCCGAACTGGAGACGGCAGGTGAGCCGCAGGAAATGAAGCGTCTGATGCCTCAAATGATTCACATAATGAATCCCACTAACACGTTGCCTATTGTCAAGAGGAAGACCTTCCAAGACGGCAAAGATGAATGTCTCGTACCATCTTTTGCTGGTGGCTGTATTTTGTGTCAGGCATGGATGAATGTAAGTAAATTCAAGGTATAGTATGGCTTAACAATTCTTTGTTCTTTAAGATTACTATGCATAGGTAGGGATGCTTTTGTGTATTCAAGGAGATTAAGTGTATTTCACTTGATGCACATTTTTCTGCAGGGGGAATGGTTGGCTCTCTGATGTAATGAAAAATGGGTTTTAAAAAACGTCAGTTTTTGCCTATTACCATGAGATTGTTTGCAATTGTGTCATGTTCAGTGTAAGAAAGTTTTTATGATTAAGAGTTTAGTGAATAAAGGAGTATGCCATATTTTCATATGAATCTCTAAAGAGGTATGGTTGAGTCAGTTTAGGAAGCAAGGGTGGTATGTTTGCTTCCTCTTTTGCAGTGATGTACTGGTTCGTATGCAGGAACTTATGGTCTAGAATTCTGATGGTAACGGACACTTGGGGTTCATTTCCACCCTCTCTAACGTTTCTTCTGAGCACAGCATACCTTAACTTTATTCCTACAAGTGGTCAAAATACCTACACGGGGCAAGTTAAGGATATATGTTAGCATGAAGCCAGAGATTTGGAACGCTGACAACTTCTGGAACACGTGTCTACTTATTAATGAACCCACCACTGGATGTGCCTAGTTGGCTAATATCTGGAAACAAGGTCATAGTAGTGCAATCAACAAGATTGGGTATTTATAACACGTAAAGTCGCCGAACTGCAACAATGGCGACGTTAGTCAATGAATTTAGAACTACCAATAATCTGAATAACTTCAAAGTTGATCCAATCGTCCTGACAGGGTCGACTGAGCGCCTTACTACATTATGTCCAACCATCCACACTATATTTGATCGTAGGAAGTGTAGCCACAGACCTAAAATGCTTTTCTCCCTCCAAGACATATGCGAAATAATCCAAGAGCCTGTAAGCATTTGCCTTCCCAGATCATAGGCTTGGTAGCAGACAGGCCTCCGAACCTTTGCTTTTTCATGACATATGTTAGACGCTTTGGTTGTTTCATCCATGCAGATGTTAGGCCTACAAGTCTGTACCTTTTCCAGGATCTAGGCTGGGTTGAACAATTATATCAATATGCGATGCGTCCGCGGAAGATAAGCGGCGAAGCTGCAAAGGTCGGCATCTACTAGTCATTAAGTTGAAGATGTTAATGCCTATAGGAGAACTGCATTGTGGAGTAACATAAGGTTGTAAACGCTGCACGGAGAGCAGCGGGGTATTATACGTTATACGTTCCCCCCCCCCGGCTCATCAGAATTACGGTAATCTCGCCAATAAAACTCGCACTTTCCTTGTGGAAAGGCGAGATCGGAGAACCCTGCTTCCCCATCATCCTGAAGTACATTCTACCATGAACCACGATCCGATCGGACGAGTTGGGGGGTACCAGGGGCTGCACCGGTACGGGTTCACACACGAAACGGTAAAGCATTCCCAGAATATCGTGGACCCAGTTACCGGTATAAATATAGATACCTAGGGTCTCTTTTGTCCTGGAAAGCCTTCGAATAGTGCCGGTACTTTTCCTAGGTG